TCATGGGATGGTGTTGCAACCCAGTTTTGATCCAGTTTGGATATTGATATTCAACAGGTAAATCAGCCCAATGTTTTAGAATAGGATATTTAGTTGACAAACTTCATCATAGCAAAAGTTGACTGTATTTTCCTGCAATTATGCCCCCTCCATTAAAAAGTTATATGCATTTGATTATTTCCTCTTCCTCACTCACAGTTACTATTATAACATCCGGAAAACATTTAACATACAAGAAATGCTATAATATCTTGCTAAAAAGCCAGTGGTTGGGATAGTTTTACTGGTGCAGAACTGTATAACTGTGGCTTAACTGTAAAACACAAGGAGCAGATTCTTCTCATCATTTTTCTTTCCAGCATACAATAGATTGAACATCTGGAGAGCATCACGTTAGGGAAAAGTAGAATATATCAACAGCTAATCTTTCACAATGTTGCATTTTCAAATCAACTGAAAATCCAGATTTTCTTATAACTAAAGCACATACAGAAGTTACTAGAAATCACAGAGGAATTTGTTGTTGTTATGCTCTGCTGAGTTGTAGCCAACTCCTGGTGACCACATGGATAAAAGCTCTCCAAGCCATCCTGTATTTCACACAATATTCAATTCTTGCAGGTGCATTTATGTGGCTTCCAGTATTCTGCCTATCCCCTCATGCACTGTTAGTCTCTTCTCCTCCTCCTGTCCACCTTGCCCAGCATAGATGTATCAGCCTTTATGAAGCGTCCAAAATATGATAGTTTTTATTTCATTGTCTTGCTTCCAGTGAGCTTTCTGCTTTGATTTCCTTTAGTACTGATTGATTCTCTTGGTTGTCCTAGGAATACAAAACAACCTTCTCTAGCTCAAAGAAGTCAATCTTCTTCCTCTTGCCTTTGCACATCCCTGGCATCCCTATATCATAAGGTAATGCCATTGGGTTGACCAGTTTAACTTTTGTCTTTGTCTTTGATGAGTTTGTCTAAGCCTCTCAATGCCTTTTTGCCCATTTTTATTCTTCTCTGAAACTTTTGCACACCCACCATTTTATCAATTCTGGAACCTAGAAAATTGTCACAGTAACTATTTCTACTGTCTCATTTTTTATCTTAAATTCTTTTAGTTTTCCAGCTGATATAATAGCAACCAAGGTAGCGTAATCCACATATCTCAGATTATCGACATTCTATGCACCAATTTTGAATCCAGACCTGTGGGCTATACTCAATGTATAGATTGGACAGGTATGGTGATAAAATGCAGCCCTGTCTGACTGCTTTCTGATGGTAAACTACTACCAAAGTCGGTTCTCATTGCGGCTTCCTGGTTATTGTATATATTGTGTTCCCCTGTTCTTTCTGAAACTTGTTTGCTTAATTGTTGTATCTCTGGAGTCCTTGGGGTTCTCAGAACTTCGTTGTTTTCTTGCAAACATTTCGCTACCCAGCTAGGTAACATCTTCAGTGCTAGAATGGAATGGGGTTTGCTCTTTGTTTATATACAGTGGCATGCCCTGCCAGTGTTGGTAGGGGTGTGGGTGTTGTTTTATTTTTGGCCTCTGGTAGTTCCTTGATTAGGGTTTTGTTGACTGCTGATTGTATGTCTGGTGATAATCTTGGTGTTAATCTCTACTTACGTATCTGGGTGATGATTATTGGTAAGGAGATGTTCTGGTCTTTTGTTTTCCTTTTTATTGTCTCTT